TATTTTTTACTGTCTTATCTCATTTGTTGATTTTCAAACCAGGCCATGACAGCACTCCTTGATAATCATGCCAAACTTCAAAAATTTTGAATTCTTGATTTTTATGTACCAGGCTGGAGAAACATACATTTTCCTCTTTTCCCACCTTTATTCTTGTTTACAGGGGGTCTATAATGGGGTCCAAGCCATGAGTGTGTGACAGGTATTTCAGCTCAATTAGATGGGAAGGAAGAAAGAAACAAAGGAAAGTCATAGGTAGGTGGTCACTCAAAATCTTTAAGACTTTCTGACAATAAGGATCCTGACTGAGAATGGGGCTGGGAGCAAAGTTTAAAATGTTTCTGTACCCCCTTCCTAGTTCACTGTTAATTCTATATTAATGTTTGACTTTTCTATGATTAATACTGTGATTAGTAATCATAACAATAGCATTATTAATATTCATTATTGGGATAATAATGTAGTGGTGGACTTTGGAGAGATCTCATCTAGGTTTTGGCTTTATAATTTATCAGTAACAGGAATGGTGGATATTCTAGGAAAAGGAATACAGTACACTGCTGTGAGTTTTCTGTTGTCCATCAAATAGGCCCCAGTGTGGTACCTAACCAAAACAAAGTGACACTCTCAATTCCATGTAACTCATCAGGCATCTTGTGGGCCTTACCATGCCACCCAGCCTCAAAAGCAAATGCCAGCTGAAAATCCTGTCATGTTTTCTCAAAGTGACTGAGCCAATGTTTTCCTGTCCAATTTAAGAGCACACAATGTCAGCAGACAGGTCCACATTGCACTTCTGTCACTACATTTTAGACTCTCTAAGTTCCTATAAGCTCTGTGGATGCTCAGATCATGCTGTGACCTGGCTGAGGGTTATTCCATTTGCCACAATTCTCCCATTAAGGTTTTCTCTGCCAGGCTTTCAACATGCAGACATTAACAAAAAGCAAGATCCAACTGCAGCTGTATCACCTATTGTCCCTTGACAATTGGAAACTAACACACAGTTGGAAGAGGTTTAATCGCTAGCTATGGCAACGCTGTGTGTGCCCCCGATTACCATGACCCTCAATTACTCAGAGGCCCAGCTCCCCAGGAATGGAAAGCACAATAAGGCAGGTCCCCTTAGTGCCTTTCCCTGTGATGTGATCTCTGTGGCCCTATGATCACAGATGAATCCAGGAACTGTTTTCTTGCCAAGGCCCAAAAAGAGACGGAGGGATCCATCAGGAACCTAAGAGCTATTAATCTCAGGGCATTCGTTTCAACCTGAGGAATGCCCCTTCACTGGTTCCTGTTATTAATGTATAGAGCTGATTCAAAACACTGTGCTTCCATGCCAAGATTTCACTTTGGGATTTCTTTATCTTTTCTAGCTTTCTCTGTGCCTTACATCAGATGGTGTGTTATGGGAGAGGGAGGAAGCAAGGAGCCAGAGAAGGGAATAATAGGGAAAGAAAAAAAGAAAGAAGAATCTATGGTTTTTGTAATGAAAGCCTGCCTTATGTCAAATAGGGAGCTCTCTCTAGCCTGCAACAAAATCTGAAATTTCAAACAGCACTTATACTTTTGACATTATTTCAATCCAACAGAGATATATAGGACATCTACTTAAAGTGAGGCACCATGCTAGACTACGTAGGAGATGTGGTCCCCAGGCTTTAAGAAGATTTAGTATACAGGGGAAATGAGAAGGACAAAACTAACTGGGAAAGACTAGGAAATGCAATGGGTACTCTAGTAGAAGCACAAGGAAACAAAAGATATGAGAGCATAGACATTTCTTGGGAGAACCCAGGGAGTCTCCTCTAGGATTTCAGAGTATTGCCAGTGGCAGGATGCTAAGAAGCATGAGATAAAGCACCAGTACCATTTCTTGAGCTCCTTCTCCAAACTGTAAGACTTTAAAACATGTCAAATGTGGTTTCCAGCCTAGCTTAACATATGGAGTCAGCACTCATCTCTGTCCCATCATTTGAGGAGCAAAGAACACCTCTTCACCTCAAAGTCCATCCCTGACCAGGAAATTTTATAAACTGAGATAGCCTACCTAGACATGTCTCTTTCTGGTGCTTTTTTCTAGCTCCCACTTTTCCTCCAGAGGAGATAGACAGATGAAAGTCACATAAAGTACAATGCCAGAAAGGCCCTGGAGAAACCTGAGGGTGCCAGGTACCCAGGTGGAGCTGAGACGGAGACACGGGGGAATAATAAAGGATGGATAATACCACTTGGGCCAAACTCTGCCAAATAGCCTCTGCAGGGAGCTGGTTAAAAGAAAGCTTCTGGAGTCAGGCAGCCTTAGCTTTGACTCTTGACTCTGTCACTTAATCTTAGATAATTTACTTTACCTTTTTGGATATTAATTTCCTCACCTATGCAACAAAGATAATGATGCCTACTTCATAGGGACGTCCCGGTGTTTAAATGAGATGTTGGTATAATGCTGGGAGATCATGAGTGCTCAATAAGCAGTTCACAATTTGGTTTACAGCTAACCCAGACAGTGAAGACATATACTAATGAGAAAATGATACTTATCCACTGTGTAATAGTTAGGATTCCACAATAGTGGGGAGCAGTGTAAAGGGGGAAAATACAAGTTTGTCTATCAGAATACAGAAATAGATTTTTTTAAAAACATTTCCAAAGGAGAATTTTAGCAGAAGGCTGGGCTCATGGGGCAGAGAAACCTGAAAAGAAGTAGTTGGAATGTCTGACAGGAGGAGGCCTCCTAGGAGTGGTCAAAGATGGGTGATAGAGAGACCAGTGAGGTACCCTTTTCCCCTGAGTATTTGTCAGAGATGAGGACTGAGGATGAAACTTTCAGGAATGGGAGTTGTACAATGAACACAAATCAAAAGGAGATTATTTTGTACACATGTATGAGAGGAAGGGACTCTGAGGTTGCAGGGGGTGAGGCCTGCTGTTATAGGCTCTAATGATCATTTCACAGCTTGCAGACAGATAGAAAAAGCAGAATGGAAAAGTTGGGAAGGCTGGGGAGGGTGAGGGGGTAGGACTCTATATTTCTCCTTACCCCCTTCTCTTTTTGTAATACTATTTCTCGGTTAGTCAGGGTCATAGTATTAATGTCTTTCTATAGAAGTTACTCAAAACTTCATACCTTTGACTTTCCAAATGAGATGACTCGGGTGGCAGACTCTAGGTGTGGTTACCATAAAATTCAAAACAAAAAGATGCAACTAGCTTCAGGCAAGAGAGTTGCTATGGTCTGAATGTTTATATTCCCCCAAAATTAACATGTTGAATTTCCAACCCCCAAGGAAATGTTATTAGGATGTGGAACCTTTGAGAGGTGATTAGGCCCCAGAGAGATCCCTCACCCCTTCTGCCATGCAAAGACACAGTGAGAAGATGGCTATCTATGAACCAGGAAGTGGGCCCACAGCAGGCACTGAATCTGCCATCACTTTGATCTTAGACTTCCTAGCCTCCAGAGCTATGAGACATAAGTTTCTGCTGTTTATAAGCAAAAATTGTATATTTTGTTATAGCAACCAGAATGGACTGAAACAATAATCTTTTAAAGCAAACAAAGCTCCACATGAGTGAGTACAGAAAATGAGAAGAACTGGAACAGTTAGGAAGATTAGAGCAATGCCTCTGGGGTAGCGACTGAGTGTGCAGGCTCTGTGGGCAATTCCATGGCTGATGAGCTGTAGCTTCTCTGCTACCAAGTCTCTCACTCCTCTGTTAACTTCCTTCTTTTTCCTCCTTGGAGTTATATGTCTTGGTTAGACAGCACTGCTGTGTTAGATCATAAAGCTTCATGCCTCACACCTCCCAACCAGATGACCTTTTGTGATAGACACTGACAGGAAAGCCTAAGTCAAAGCTGTGCCTAGGGGTAGCTCTGCTAACATCTAGCCAAGAATGCAGCAAAAGGGTGGCGCTGGACCAGGTGCTTTGGGGAAAATGGATTCCAATCTAAAGGAGGGAAGCAGGACTGAAATTTCTGACAAGGTATAATGCCTGTGGATGAAACCTGAATTTGCTAGCTCTGGAGAGGATCTTTGGTCTCAGAAGGAGAGAATCTAGGGAATACAGGCTTCACTTCAGTTATAGAAACACCTATCTGTTTTCCAAGGGAGCAGAATAGAAGAATCTGCTCTGCTACCTGGCTTCTCTTTTTTTTGTGCTTATCATTTTATGTTCATAGCGTCTCTCATAGTTGAAGGCTGAGCTTTATAGTACATATAGAATACAAGCCCACAGCTATTTCAATTGTTAGATTATTCTCTGTCAGTGCATGTTACAATGATTCCATGTCTTTTTGCTAAACTATTTTGAAATATTGTTTCATCAAGTTAAAATACTAAACATTTATTGTGCTGTAGCATGATTTTTACTTGTTTTCTGGCTCTTGTGGGATATTTAAATGATCACATGTGATGTGACAAGGAAGATACCATGGTCCAATTACCCAGAAAGTAGTAGAAAAGAGACAGACAGCAAGACAAAAAGAAGCAGAAATAGCAGGGACACATTGTGGTTGGAGGTTTGAAAGGGAAAGAGAAGAGATTTATTTAGGGTGATAAGCTTTAGCAGATCCATGTACCGAGTTCCCTAAGCCAGCAGGGTCAGTTTAGAACTGATCTGCAAGACAATGTTTGAATGCATTCTATATTTGTTTTTGCTCCCCACCAGCATACTATATTTTGATGATTGGTCTTTTGGCACAAGACTAGAAAATGCATAACTGTGAGGGAAGAAAGCATTGCACATATTAAACAGTGGTTGGTGCAACACACATTTAGTGTATCTCACAGTGATCTGCATTTGCTCAATTTCAACCCACTGGACTGCTAGATAATGGGAATTGGAGCCTGAATGTCTAGGCTGGGGTAGAATAGACCTCCTGGAATTTTTTTCTAGTATCTATTTATCAAGCTCCCTAACTGATGTAAAAATCCATACAGCAGAGACAGCATCAACATTTTATTTTTCTTCCAAAGGAAAATACTTTTTTATTTCAGGTAGCTCATCCTCTCTAGGCTGTAGACTGAATACATTCTTTTTAAGTCTAAGCATTAATTAGACAGATAAAGAAATGTATCTCCCTTTGTTCAGAAGGAGAATTCTATTGAGCCTTTGACAATGAAGCTGCTTAAGGGACAGCCTGAGTTGCTGTTTCTGCACAGAGCTTCTGTAGAAGGAAGATAAAGAGGCTCACTAGTGGAGGACTCTGTCTTTGTGCCATCTTCTTGCTGCTTCCTCTGGACTCCAGTGGGAAATAGAGCCCTAAAAAGTAAATAAAAGGTCCATGAAGACCAAAATGAATCCTGTGACTTAAAGCCACAAACCAGAATGCACCACCGGGGAACCTAATGACCTCAGCAAGTGTTTGAGTGGTTGTTCCCATCTTAGGCCCTGCTACTTCCCACTAGCATCAGATGACAGATTATGGTGAGCTCACAAGAAGGCCCCTAAGTAACCCAGCCAACATGGGTTTCTTACAGGTATAGAAGGCTCCTTGAGGCTGGGCGCGGTGGCTCAAGCCTGTAATCCCAGCACTTTGGGAGGCCGAGACGGGCGGATCACGAGGTCAGGAGATCGAGACCATCCTGGCTAACACGGTGAAACCCCGTCTCTACTAAAAAAATACAAAAAACTAGCCGGGCGCGGTGGCGGGCGCCTGTAGTCCCAACTACTCGGGAGGCTGAGGCAGGAGAATGGCGTGAACCCAGGAGGCGGAGCTTGCAGTGAGCTGAGATCCGGCCACTGCACTCCAGCCTGGGCGGCAGAGCGAGACTCCGTCTCAAAAAAAAAAAAAAAAAAAAAAGGCTCCTTGAGGCCACACTACCAGTTTACCAGGTACCTAGGAGGGGGAGGTCCATTTTGCACATCCACAGACCGTTTGCTTTAAAAACTGTCTTATATAACAGGAGAGAAGCCATAAACACCAGCACTCTCAAGGTCACCTCCACTAGGTACTGAATGCAGGGCTTGGGGAACACTGTATAACTCCTGAAAAGGTGCCAAGTGCCAACCCTAGGCAGCTCTCTGGCTGCAATTTTGTGTCCCTACTTTGAACAGATTATCCAGCTGAACCACTCTACTACAGTCCTTGCTGCCCTTAGGCCACTGTCATACATCTCACTGGATTCCACCAGTCAAAACCTTGGCTTTTTACTTTTCCTTTTTTTGCTTTTGGACTTAAAAGCTTTTAATTGCAGTAAAATATACATACAAGAAAATGTACATATCACAAGCATCCAGCACAGTAAATTTTCACGAATATGTCCATGTAACCAATTCCCAGGCCAAAAAATAAAACACTGCTAGCACCACAAAACCTCTCCAGCTTTTTTCCAGTCACCATCACCCAAGGGTAGCAACTACACTGACTTCTAGCATAAGTTCATTTTTATATTCTTTTTTAACTTTTAAATTTTTAAGTTTTTAAAATTTGTAATTGCCATAACAATTATGTATATTTATGGGATACAATGTGATGTTTTGATCTACGTATACATTACAAAAAGATTCAATCAACCTAATGAACAGATCTATCACCTCATCAATGTATCATTTTGTGGCCAAGAACGGTGGCTCACGCCTGTAATCCCAGCACTTTGGGAGGCCAAGGTGGGTGGATCTCCTGAGTCCAGGAGTTCAGGACCAGCCTGGGCAACATGACAAAACTCTGTCTCTACCAAAACTATAAAAAAAAAAAAAAAATTAGCTGGGCATGGTGGCACACCTGTAATCTCAGCTACTTGGGAGGCTGGGGAATAAGAATCACTTGAGCCCAGGAGGCGGAGGTTGTAGTGAGCCAAGATCATGCCACTGCACTCCAACTTGGGTAATAGACTGAGACTCCACCTCAAAAACAAACAAACAAACAAAAAAACGAATTTATCATTTTGTTGTAAGAATGTCATAAATCTATTTTAGATATTTTGAAACATACATTATTAGTGTCATATTTTAACTTTTTAATAGCTTTAAGGGTACAAGTAGTTTCTGGTTACATGGGTAAATTGTATAGTGGTGAAGTCTAGGCTTTTGGTGCACCTGTCACCAGAGTAGTATATATTGTGCCCAATAGGCAGTTTTTCACCCCTCATCCCCCTCCACCCCTACCCCCTTCTGAGTCTCCAATTTCCATTATACCACTCTGTGTGCCTTCATGTACCCACAGCTTAGTTCTCACTTTTAAGTGAGGATATATAATATTTGGTTTTTGATTTCTGAGTTACTTCACTTAGAATAGTGGCCTCCAGTTCCATCCAAGTTGCTGCAAAAGGCATTATTTCATTCTTTTTATGGCTGAGTAGTATTCCATGGTGTATATGCAATATATATAATATTTTCTTTATCCACTCATCAGTTGATGAGCACTTAGGGTGATTCCATATCCTTGCAATTGTGAATTTTGCTGCAATAAACATAGGTGTGCAGGTGTCTTTTGATATAATGACTTATTTTCCTTTGGGTAGATACTCAGTAATGGGATTCCTGCATTGAATGGTAGATCAACTTTTAGTTCTTTAAGGAATCTCCACACTGTTTTCCATAGAGGTGGTACTAATTTACACTGCCACCAGCAGTATAAGAGCATTCTCTTTTCACCGCATCCACACCAACATCTATTGTTGTTTGACTTTTTAATAATGACCATTCTGACTGGGTTAAGCTGGTATTTCATTGTTTTTTAATGTGCATTTCTCTGATGATTAGCGATGTTGAACATTTTTTCATATATCTGTTGGCCATTTGTATATCTTCTTTTGAAAAATGTCTATGCATGTCCTTTGCCCACTTTTTAATGGGATTAGTTGATTTTTTTCTTGCTGATTTGAGTTCCTTGTAGATTCTGCATATTAGTCTTTTTTCAAGTGCATAATTTAAAAGTATTTTCTCCCATTCTGTGTGTTCTCTGTTAATTCTGATAATGATTTCTTTTGCTGTGCAGAAGCCTTTTAGTTTAATTAGGCCCCATCTATTTATCTTTATTTTTGCTGCATTTGTTTGTTTTTGTCTTAGTCATAAATGCTTTGCCAAGGTCAATATTCAGAAGAGTTTTTCCCAGGTATTCTTCTAGATTTTTTATGGTTTCAGGTATTATATTTAAGTCTTTGATCCATCTTGAGTTGATTATTGTATAAGGTGCGAGATGGGGATCTAGTTTCATTCTCCTACATGTGGCTTGAGAGTTTTCTCAGTACCATTTATTGAATAGGGTGTCCTTTCCCCAATTTATGTTTTTGTATGCTTTATGAAAGATCGGTTGGTTGTAAGTATTTGGCTTAATTTCTGGGTTCTCTACTCTGATCCATTAGTCTATATGTCTACTTTTATACCAGTACAATGCTGATATAGCCTTGTAGCCTTGTAGTATAAATATAAATTGGATAATATGCTGCCTACAGATTTGCTCTTTTTGCTTAGGATTGCTTTGGTTATCTGGGCTCTTTTTTGGCTCCATATAAATTTTAGTATTTTTTTCTAATTTTATGAAAAATGATGATGGTATATTTGTGGGAATTGCATTGAACCTATAGATTGCTTTGGGCAGTATGGTCATTTTCACTGTATACATTCTTCCAATCCATGAGCATGGGATGTGTTTCCATTTGTTTGTGTCATCTATGATTTCTTTCAGCAGTGTTTCGTAGCCTTCCTTGTAGAGATCTTTCACTTCTTTGGTTAAATATATTCTGAGGTATTTTTGTAGCTATTGTAAAAGGGACTGAGTTCTTGATTTGATTCTCAGCTTGGTCATTGTTGGTGTTTAGCATTGCTACCATTTTGTGTACATTGATTTTGTAACCTGAGACTTTACTGAGTTTATCAGATCTAGAAGTTTTCTGGAGGAGTTTGAGGGTTTTCTAGATATAAGATCATATCATCAGCAAACAGTTTGACTTCCTCTTTTCCAATTTGTATGTACTTTCTTTCTTTCTTTTGCCTGATTGCTCTGGCTAGGACTTCCAGTTCTACATTGACTAGACGTGTTGAAAATGGGCATCCTTGTCTTGCTCTACTTCTCAGCGGGAATGCTTTCAACTTTTCCCTATTTAGTATGATGTTGGCTATGAGTCTGTCAGATACGGCTTTTATTATTTTGAAGTATGTTTCTTCTTTGCCTAGTTTGTTGAGCGTTCTTATCATAAAGAGATGCTGGATTTTATCAATGCTTTTACTGTGTCTATTAAGATGATCATATGGCTTTTGCATTTAATTATGTTTATATAATGAATCACATTTATTGACTTGTGTAAGTTGAACCATCCCCGTATCCCTAGAATGAAATCCATTTGATCATGGTGAATTATTTTTTTTGATGTTTTGTTGGGTTTGGTTTACTAGCAATACCTTCTTATTAACTGTGGTCATCATGCAATGTAATAGATCACTAAAGATTATTCCTACAATCTAATTGAAACTTTGTACGCTTTAATCAACATTTCCCCATTCCCCATTCCCTTACCATCCTCTCTCCCTGCCTCTGGTAACCAGCTTTTTATTTGGTTTCTATGATATTAACTTTTTATTTTTTTAATTTGTCTTGTTATGGATATATAATAGCTATATATATTTATGGGATACATGTGATATTTTGAAAAAGTATACAATATATAATGATCAAATCTGGATAGTTGTGATATCCACCATTTCAAATATTTATGTTGAGAATATTTGAAATCCTCTCCTCTAGCTATTTTAAAATATAATAATTATTGTTAACTATATTTGCCATATTGTGTCACCACATACTAGATCTTATTCCTTCTGTTTTTGTATCCATTAACCAACTCCTTTTTATGTCTCCCTCCTCACTACCATTCCCAACCTCTGATAAACATCATTCTATTCAGTAACTCCATGAAATCAATTTTTAGCTCCTACATGAATGAAAGTATGCGACATTTGTCTTTCTGTGCCTGGCTTATTTTATTTAACATAATGACCTCCAATTCCATCTATATTGTTTCAAATGACAGGGTTTCATTCTTTTTATGGTGGAATAATATTCTGTTGTGTATATATGCCACATTTACTTTATCCATTTATCTGTTGATGGACAACTAAATTGATTCCATATCATAGCTACTGTGAATAGTGCTGAAATAAATAAAAGTGCAGGTATCCCTTTGATACACTAATTTCCTTTCTTTGCATATATACCTAGTGGTAGGATTGCTGGATCATGTAGTTCCATTTTTAGGTTTTTGAGGAAGCTTCATGTTTTCCATAGTGGCTGCACTAATTTACATTCCCACTAACAGTGTAGG